GGACATAAATACAGAAGCAGGAAGGAAGGCAAAATAACACTAAGGCATAGTCATAGATTCATACTATCACTGTAGCACGAATCTTAAAAGGTCTTACTAATAATAATAAATCCGGAGGAGCCAGGTATTGGGGTGAGTTCTGAAAGATCAGAGAAACAGAACAAGCCACAGCCAACCTCACCTCACCAATTCCTCAGCTGATCTTGTTTCCTCAAATTGAAAGCTTCTGAGTCCTCACCCAAATGGATCTCAACTGAACTGTTGCTCAAAACCCTAAAAGCTTAACAGGCTCTAGTTCCTGGTCCTCACACCTTATATACCTTTTTGCTTCCTGTCATCACTTCCTGGGATTAAGGGCATGTGTCACCATGCCTGGCTGTTTCCAGTGTGGCTTTGAACTCACAGAGATCCAATGGATCTCTGCCTCCCAAGTGATAGGATTAAAGGTGTGTGTGCCACCATTTTCTGGCCTCTCTATGTTTGTCTAGTGGCTGTTCTGTTCTCTGACCCCAGATAAGTTTATTAGGGTGCAAAATATATTGAGGGACACAATATTACCACATATCACTATACCTTAAAAACCTATAATACAAGGCTAGAGAAATGGCTAAGTGGTTGAGAACAATGGTTATCCTTCAAGGCTGCCCTTCTTGAGGACCCAGGTTCAATTCCCAACACCCACATGGCAGCTCATAAATGCCTGTACCTCTAGTTCTAGGGGAATTTCATATCAATGCACATAAAATTAAACAACAACAAAAATCAACTGTAGTACACACACACACACACACACACACACACGCTAAACTAAAAGTCTTCATCGATACTGACAATACTTCCTCTAAGAGCCAAAGACAGTCTACCAAAAACACCTACACCAGGCATGAGAAGCTCCCTTTTGAGTCGTTAGTCATATTAAAGGCATATTGGACAGAGCAAAAGTTGTCAGATTTAAGTTTATACCGTGTGTTGAACAGGCATGAGAAATAAATAACAAAAATGGCAAAATGAACAGGGTTGCAGGATGATGAATTATAGATATTAGTCAGAGTTTATCGAACTGTGGATGAAAATTATATCCCAATGAAGCTCATAAGCAACACACATATATTTAACTCACATGCAAGAGTAATTGATTAGAACAGTGGTGGAAACATGAAATTCTATTTCCTAAATGATAATTACAGTTTCAAGTCCTACTCCACTTCTCTTTAATATAGGCTAATGCATGGAGTTTAATAGAAAGAAAAGAGCTCAGAGCTCCTGACAGAATGGGTGTCAACATTTCAAAGAGCCACAGCCGCCTTTTCATTTCTTAAAACCACATTTGGGGACTGTGCAGAAGTACAGGCTATCACATGTCTCCACCTTGGGGCTTCTAACATTTTGAAATAATAAGTGTTTGTTTGGGGAAGTCTCCTAGGCATTATATCATGCTTGTTACCTGCTGTCACCACACCAAAATGGACACAGTGTCCAGTGTCCTCCAAGTCCAGCTGGATGGTACATGAGTCAAATTGTCCCTCCTTGAGAAGTTTACAATTAAAGCATGTCTAACCTAACACTTGGCCCCTTTGCCTCTGCTGAAGTTCACTTGAGATTACATTTGCTTTCAATTCATCTGGAAACATTCATGATATATTTTTCCTTTGTCCATCTACAACTATGGACTTGGAAGAAAATGATCTTACCAATTAAATGTATTGTATGGTTATTCCACTTTGCAAGGTTATTTTATCTTTTTATGATTTGTTCTATAGTTTCACATTTTAATTAATAAGTCAGCCAACGTTTATTTCCCAGGAAAACACTCATCAGAGAAGTACTTAATTAGGGTTAAACTATCCCATTAAGTGTCAAAGAGTCTCATGCTCAATCTGATGCTATGTGTATCATAAATAAGACATTAAACATCTCCTATTAACACTGTTCAATGTGAATAGAGGAAGTATAAATTTCTTGATTTTATCATGAAAATATGAACTGCTTTAAAAATTACAGACATCAGTGGCATGAAGGACTGTTTCTCTTTAATAATTTATAAGTTGTAGAATTGCAAGAAAAATGAAAATCATATGCAAATAACTCATTGCAGACATAGCCTTTGGAGGAAGAACAGAATGAGACCGAAGTAACTCTAACACAGCTATTAAACAAGTGCTCCTTTCCTTGAGCAAAAATTTGAACTCATGCCGGGCGGTGGTGGCGCACGCCTTTAATCCCAGCACTCGGGAGGCAGAGCCAGGCGGATCTCTGTGAGTTCGAGGCCAGCCTGGTCTCCAAAGCGAGTTCCAGGAAAGGCGCAAAGCTACACAGAGAAACCCTGTCTCGAAAAACCAAAAAAAAAAAAAAAAAAAAAATTTGGACTCATATTGAGACACCAGGTAATATAGAATAACTGGCATATATGGAAAAATAAAATTATATTATGAGGTTTCATTAAGCAACTAAACAAATATTTATTGTAATATATATCTTTTAGTACTTTGATGAATAGCCACAGAAACGGACTTTTTCAAGAAGTTAATTTTTATATATATATATATATATATATAAAAATCTTATAATGAATGACCATATATGGACAAGCCCATGACTTCTGTGAGAGGTACAGATGTCTGGAGCAACTGCTCTTGAAAGTGAAAAGAGGCTAGGTGAAGCCGTGTGTTTAGTCTGGACCTTTCAGTAAACAGAACATGTGTTGTTGAGGTGTTGGGAGACTGCCAGATCACAGCCATAGAGAACAGTGCACTTTCACATTTTAGGCGTTCCTAAAATACATGTCCTACAAGCAGCTGAATTCTGTGGGCGAATACACATGGTAAGGAGAATGAAGAACGTGGAAGTCTCTTAAGGCCGAGCAGGAGGGTTTTCATTTTACAAAGAATATATATGAGGCAATAGTGATTGGCATAATTACTAGCAATGGATACTGCAGAATAGGGCACAGCACCGTGGAATGTGAGGAAGTCTAAATTGAGGATAAAAATGAGAACTAGAAGTGGGCAAGATGACCCAGGATATAAAGGTTTTGCAGCCAAGCTTGACGATCTCAATTCCATCCCCATGACTCACATGCTGGAAGGAGAGAACTGACTCCTGTAAATTGTTCTGAAACCTCCACAAATGCATACATGGACAAACACACACACACACACACACACACACACACACACACACACACACACACACTCACAGTCTAAATAAATAAGAATGTAATAAAAAGGAAAAACCAGAAATTAATGCTATTATCAATATTCTCTTGAAGTATCATTTGTTAATGGTATTAACAAATCCATCTGGTTATGACTGATACAAGTACTCATTTCAAAAATATATTGTTATTCCTAATTTTACTATTCATATTAATGCACTCAGTTATTTGGATCTATACATTTCATAACTAAGGTTTTATTTTTACACATTAATACACATTGGAAAATTTATTCCAAAGCCATGTATGATAGAACACCCCCTGTAAACCAGCATTTTTGAGATTTATGAAGAAGGATTTTGAAGTGAAGTTATATAACTTGAGTTATATATGTAAAACTTGTCTTAAAGATTATAAAAAAAAAAGGAAAGGTGGATTCCAAGACATTATGCATGCTTCTTGGTTTATGATGGAGTAATCTTCTGATAAATATATTGCAATCAGGGAATACTGAAAATAGACTTAAAGAAAACAGTGTAGCTTAGCAAGGTAGAATGCCAGAAGTGTTGGCTGCTTGCTTTGCTACTCAGTGTGTGGGCTGGAGTTGTGTTCTCACTGCCAGCGATGTCCAGCATCCTGAGAGACTACCATTCCTCACATTGCTAGCCCAGAGAAAGATAAAGATCCAAAGTATAACTTCTAGTGAACATATCAACTCCAAAATATCCTACTATAGAAAAAGCCTCAGTGGAACAATCAGTAACTAGGGAACCGCCTGTATTTTCTTAAAGACTCCAGGCAACATCACAAAGATAAATGAAACCTAGCCACACAACTTTTCCAGTAGAAAAACAATTTAGGTAAACATGAGGGACCTCAAAAGTCAAGTGAAGCAGGTTACCTAAAAGGTCTGATAGCCTCTTTTAGAGGAAAACAGCAAAATGCTGAGTGCTGTGAGTTTTGAGAATAAAGGGGTAGGGAAACTACCTCATCTTCTTGTCCCATTCATATTCCTAATAGGGACAAGTTTACTGTTTAGGTGAAAGCACTACCGGTGTCCATATATACCCCAAAAGGTTGGGATGTTGGGGATCTCCAGCTTGGGGCCCCATTTCCCCGCCCCCACAGTTCTTCCTCCTCACACTCCAGACCGCGCCCCCTCTAAAAGGCTGCAAGCAGTAGCACCTTCCCTCAGAAAGCCCTGCAAGGGTCATCTCCTACCCTGGAGGCTGCTCAAGACTAGGTCGACAGACTACTAGAGACCTGGCTGCCATATTTGCCATGTGATTCCTCCCCTGCATTCCCAAGGGTCACCCTGAAGTTGCTTTGCTTTGTTTATTAAACCTGGATTTATCAATCAGTTTGACTGGGTTACTACATCAGCAGCAGTGATGAGTACCCAATAACTGGGCATTCAAAACTTATCATTTACTCCTGTATCAGATGCCACTGACCCAGGTTGTAGACAATAGGAAGACATATTCTTCCTCTTTCTTAAACCTGGTAACCTCAATAAACAATAATCATGTGGGTTGAAAAGTTATTTTCATTATTGTAATTCTGATACCAGCATTTATTTCCAAACTTCAGTTAACATCATTAAAGTATTTTGCAACGTTTTGGAAATGAAATCAGAAAATAGTTTAGGGAAAAATTCTCTGGTAATTTTTCTTAAGCACTGAGAAACAAAGAGCTGAAATTCACCACATAATGAGACACAAAGGCAGCTTAGACACAAAGAGAAAATAGTGGAAATGTTTCTATGCTTTTAATGAAGTCTTCAGTAGAGGTCAAGCAAAGCTAAGCAAAACAAAACCAGGTAACAATTACAGAAATCAGCACTTACCCATATTTTGCAAAATTTGCCCAAAATTTCATCATGGATCGACTCAAAATTTCCTCAGCTCTAGTATAATTAGTTCTTCTTTCCAGTGGTAAGCCAAAGACAAGCTCGATTTCATAGCCATGCATAACTCCCATCCATTCAGGCCAAGGAATTTTGGAAGATCGGTGTTCGAGATAGTAGAAAAAGGCATTATTTTCAAGGTCTGAAAATGTCTTGGCAAACTCCAATGCGGGGCATATGATGTTGTAATCTCCAATTACATCATCCAAGGCCTCACGGTAGACTTCCGGTGTCTGGTCACCTAACCAGTCCACGTAGTAGAAAAGGATTGCTTCTTTTCCCAAGCTGCTCACTCCTGGGAAATACATATTTAAACCTTCTTGAAACTCCCTCCGAGTGATGAGACTGTCATTGTCTTTGCTGAAACCAGGAGCACCATACACTAGAAAAGATGTCCCTTCATCTTTGTTAACACCTACTAAGATCTGAGTTTTTTTCACTTGTCCGAGTTGAAGTAGTGTGTGGGGCATGTCAGTGAGAAAATCACCATCCACCGTTGGACCGAAATTTATCGATAAGAGGGAATCAGAGGGGAGAACGAACCTTTGGTTCAGAAGAATTTCCTCAGGGTCTTTATTTTGAAGGCATTTAATCATCTCTGTCTCATTCTCCTTTGAGCAGCCAGCCAATTCAGCTAAGGCCAAGGTTCGGTTTCTGGCTTCCTCTGGAGACTTTACTGCCCAGGGGGCGTTAGAAGATCCACTTTGCAGAATGGCTCTGGTAAACAGAGGGTAGCTTTGGGGACAAAGCAAATGTAAGCTCACAGATGCTGATCCTGCACTTTCACCAAAAAGTGTTACACTCTGAGGATTCCCTCCAAAGGCAGCTATGTTTCTTTGGATCCACTGAAGGGCCAACTGTTGATCAAATAAGCCCATGTTCCCTGGAGCCTCAGAATTTCCAGGTAAAGCTAGAAATCCTAGGGCACCTAGCCTATAGTTCATTGAGACGACAACAACTCTTTCAACCCGAGCTAGAAACTTCCCATCATAAACAGGTAGTGAGGAAGTCCCAGTTTGAAAGCCACCACCATAAACCCATACCATGACAGTGGCATTTTTCGGTTTAGGTGCTGGAACCCAAACGTTCAGATACAAGCAGTCTTCACTGAGGTTCGTGTTCGGATTCCACATTTCCGACCCCTGGAAGCCTGGGAAGGTTTGATCTATGATCTGATAACAAGAACTAGCATATTTGGTGGCATTATGGATGCCAGGCCACTTGTTTAAGGGTTGTGGCTTTTTGAATCTTAGCTTTCCAAGAGGAGGCTGTGCGTAAGGGATCCCGAGAAAAGCAGTCACCGTGCCGCCGAGAACGGGCAGGCTCAGCCCCCGAACTCTTCCCGTCTTGGTTGTGACTATGAAGTCTTCAGCGTGTGAATTCCCAAAAAGCATGCCAAGCAGTAGAAAGGACAGGAGGAAGTGGGTCTGTGTGATGGTGGTGCACTGGGTCTGCATGTTGATTCCTAGAGAGAAAAGTAAGCAAAAAGTTTTAACAGCCTTGTAGACGCTGTGTTATTATTGTCCAATGATGATAACTCACTAAAATACCGTAGTTCCTATTTACCCTAAACGTATAAGACCTGATGAATATGTTACCAACCCAAGGATATGGATAAGTACTAAGAAGAAAGTGGATTTCTCTCCACTTAAATGAGAAAAACATATTAAGGAAAATATATATAATCTTGCCTTGGAAATACCATTGTTAAAAATCTGTAAGAAGTTTCAGCACTATAAAAAGGTAGTTTGTCCCAGGTACATATGTTATCATTCACTACACATAGCCATATCAAATACGGAATAGCTAGGGGTGGACATGTCAGGAGTAATTTCTACATGAGCAGAGGAGAAAATACAAGAGGTTTTGGAATAGCATGTCTGGATAACAGATCACAGAACTCTGAAGTCAGTTAAGAACATAGAAAATCATCTACTGTTTTCCTTTGTTCCATGGTTCTTTTCATAGTTCGCCCTTTTTAAAAAGAATATGTTTCCTCTATACAATCTCAGTTTATTCTCAAAAGGGAATTGAGACAATTTATTTGTAGAATGGTAAGTAAAAAATTAAGTAATTGCAATTTAGCTATAAATAGTAACACTAAGAAGCCAGCTTTCTCTCTGGATACTAAAATACAGGTTGTTGAATTGTGCTACCTGTGTGTTTCAGGGATGTTCTCTGAAATTTATTTAATAAAAATCAGGCTATGCTGCTTGAATCTTAATCTCCTTGGTGGGAGACCCAGCTGATATTTATGTGGGAAACAATATTGGCTTAGAAGGAATTTTTACAAGACTAACAACAATTAATTTGTAAACTGATTAAAGCACATGAAAATAGTGAAATATGTTTGTTAGAAGAGTCATGGATACTCATGTTTTTTATAGTGTAGAAATTCATTGAAATCAGAGGACCGATGCTGAGAAATTACAGGGATAAGCAGAAGAGGCTAGAGTAAACTGTAAACTACAACATGAAATGTATTTAATATTATAGTATAGATAATATTTATTTAAGGTCACATGAGTCATCATAGTTTTATTAAAATTTATAACATAAACATGAGTTTCTTTGAAATAAAACTTTCCAAACTCCATGTGATAAAAAGGAAAATAAAATATAATGTAAATGTCATTTTAAAAGAATCAATGCCTCTTTATATAGTTGTAGAAACACAATTAAAATATTCATTAACAAGCACTGGCTTCTGTCCACATAACAATGGCTAGGACTAACACATGCACAGTCCTTCTGTTACTTTTTCTAATGCTCTAATTTTAAATCCAACCTCCCTGCTCAGGAAGTTAATCCTATCATCACCAACCATTTGCTATGGCTTTCTGTGTATATAATCAAGTTTATTTTGGTAGGCCATGAGAAAGAAACAGATGTGAGAGCTATGTTCCCTGACTTGAAGAATATTTTTTAATTTACTTTTATGTATTGTAATTGTGGGATGTGACACAGGTGTCACAGTATAATTTGAAGATCAGAGGATAACTCAGAATTTCTTTTTTTTTCCACCCACCAAGTCATCTTCCCAGACTTTATACCTAAAAGATGCTAATTTTAAAACAATATCATTTACCCCTGCTCACAGGAAATCTAGTGATCAGTTCCCAACAAATATGTAAATAAATCATACCATAATGACATTTGTTTTGTACCCAATACTTAATGATTACATCTCTGCATAATTTTATGAATATCTGTGTCTATCCAAAATAGACTTATTTTATGTAAATAAGTCTATGTTTAAGTTGATTGCTATAGTAGTAAGTTCAGGTTTTAAAATCAAGTCATTTGCTTTTCTTATTTTTTAATATCCTCTGTTTTGATACAATTGAGCATGGGCTAAGATCCATTAAATGTATTACTGAAACATACTCTTGTATCTTTCATGGGACGTTTAAGTATTGTATTCACCGTGAGTGTAATTTGTAGGTATGATAATCAAACTACATGGAATAATAATATAAAATGTCTGAGAATCTCACAGTTACTAAGGCAATTTTATATTTTGAACAGGAGGTATGGATTATTTACTGTTCCTCATAGCTTTTTTACTTTTTTTTCCTGTTAACTACAAAGCCTTCACTTAAATAAACAGAAAAAGAAAAAGGCATATGGAATTTCTCTTTCTGTTTTTGAAAATCAGCTTTGTCAAGGGAAAATGACCAGCCCCCAGACCTGTCTGCTCTGAGCACATTTCAGCAAGCTCACCTATGACCCCTGACTGCCTGTCTTTGGGTGTGCAGAGCAGTGCGGGCTCCTTCTCTGTGCCCTGAAGAGGTGATTTGTGCTGTTTTCTTGGCTTTGTTTAAATATTCTTATAAAAAAAATAAATTGAATGTTAATTTTTTCAATTTCTAGTAATTTTTGACAACTTAAAACTTTTGTTTAGAGCCTGGGGAGGTGCTTCAGTAGGTAAAGGGTTTTCTGAGCAATCAGAACTTGTGTTCAGATCCCCCAACATCTACATAAAAAATAAATAAAAATAAATAAAACCCAGGTGCGGTGGTGCCCGTCTGTGATTTCAGTACAGTCCAGGAGGAGATCCCAGGGCCTTGGTGGCCAGACTATCAAGCTGAAGCTGTGAGACTTGGTTCTGTAAGAGAGACTCTTTCCAAAAGGAAAGTGGAAAGTGATTAAAGAAGACACTTAACAGCAACCTCTGGCCTCCACAGACCATGTGTGCACACTTGTGCACACACAAACACACTATACATGAACACATACAGATGAACATGTGCACAACTGTACTTACACACAAACATTTCTTCAACAGTTTCTTGTAAGGTGAATATAACTACCTCCATTAACAACTAGGATAATTTTATAATGTTCCAGATCAGCTACTATCACACCTAAAAAGATGCAGTGTTTCCACATTAGCTATATTTATATAGCTTTTTCCTTCTGTGATTTAATATCCATTTTCCTCCAATGGATCTTAACTTTCCAGAGCACTGTTTAGATGAATTAGAAACACATTCTCAATAATGATACCTATGAGCTTTTCTTGTATATAATGTGAAGTATAACATTAGAAACAGTCACCATAAGTGTACGTTTATGTAAGGATGACAATTCAGTTCTTTCTCTCATGTTACCTGCTGAGAAGTTAGACTCTATATTAATAAATTTGCAGTGCTAAATGAAAAGATGCTGAATGCTCCCACATTCAGTACTGTCTACATGTGTTACCTTTAAATCAACATTATTCTATTATTTACACAATCTAACATTTTTTCCTTGGTACTCTGCACTTCTCTGTTAAAGACATATTTTAATGTGTATTTATCACATACTCAAACAATCTAATCAGAAATAAAAAGAAATGTCAAAATTAATTCATTAGCTTGTTTTTAATTATACTTTAAAATTCTATAAAATTGCCTCTCTCATATTGTGGTGCAACTGACAACTGCTAAAAAAAATAAAATTTTAAACTCAGGGGAACATACTTATCATAAAAAATGAGGCAAACTTTCACAATGAATACACCTATCTTAACGTAGATAAGCTCATTCCTTGAAATAGTAGTTAATATTTCCAAGCGATTAGGAGATTTTTACTCAAAAGGCCAAAGTAAATAGGTGTTAGAAGTGGAAAAAAATACCTTTCAGGATAACGAATTCAAGTTTAACAAATGCTACTTGATATCAAATTTTACCAGTAACATTTTACAAATTCTAAACTTTTTAAAACCTTAACTTTTAAAATAAAATGGTCATATCACCTCTTTTTTTTTTTTTTTTTTAATCTTCCTCCATCAGTTACTGGATGAAGGCTCTATGATGACAGTTAGGGTATTCACCCATCTGACTACTTAGGTAGGCCAGCTCAAGCACCCTTTCCACTATTGCTAATAGTTTAAGCTGGAGTCATCCTTACAGATTCCTGGGAACTTCCCTAGCATCAGGTTTCTCCCTATGCCCATGATGTCTCCCTCTATCAAGATAACTCTTTCATTACTCTCCCAGAGCCTTCATTCAGTAACTGATGGAAGAAGATCCAGAGATCCACAGCCAAGGACCAGGCCAAACTCCAGGAGTCCAGTGGAAGACAGGGAAGAGGGATTCTATGAGCAATGAGTATCAGGATCATGACAGGGAAACCTACAGACGAACCAAGCTAGTAGGAACTCATGAACTTTAGACCAACAGCTGTGGAGCCTGCGTGGGACTGGACTAGGCCGTCTGCATAAACAAGACAGTTCTGTAGCTTGGTGTGTTTAAAGGTCCCCCAGGCAGTAGGATCATGATCTATCCCTGGTGCATGAGCTGGCTTTTTGGAGCCCACTACCTATGGTGGGACACCTTGCAGTCTTGATGAAGGGGGAAGGTCTTGGACCTGCCTCAATTCAATGTATCAGCCTTTGCTCAGTCCCCATGGGAGGCCTTACCTTTTCCAAGGAGGGAATGGGGGGTGGCTTGAGGGGGGAAGGCTGGTGGGGGAGTAGGAGGAGAAATGAGAGGGGGATCTGTGATTGGTACGTAAAATGAATTAAAAAAATCCTTAATAAAGAAAAAATAAAAACAATCTTTAAAAAAATAAAAATCTTTTAATTCAAATTTGAAATCTCAATTCCCCAGACAATTTTATGAGAAAAAAAATGATGTCATTATACCTTAAGATGTGGACCTGTTAAAATGACAAATATATAAAAAAATATTTATTACCATTTATTTGTAAAAATGATTTGCTTGTCAAATGTTTAAAGTAATGGACCAGCCTGGAAATATGTAAAACAAAAAAATCTAAAAGCTCTCGATAGTGTTCTCTAGGTATCATGTTCCTGTTTTAAAAATATCACTAAAATATGTGGATCTTATTTTGAAATGGTGATTCTTAAAATGTGCTGGGAAAGTGCTGTCTAGATAGTAGTAGAAGGATCTATGATCAGCTTTGAAATTCTATTTGACCAAAATAGCTCCGTCTCTATACCAAATCAAAAACTGTTTTGTTTCAGGCTAAGTGAAGACGGTATTGAGGAAATCTATTCATAAATGGACCATATCCTGGTCTTCCACTGAGCTTTGAATGTCTGCTAAGACATCCAAGTAGACAGACGATGGCAGATGAGTTCTGTAAACTCAAGATACATCCCAGTAGACAGAAGATGGCGATGAGTTCTGCAAACTCAAGATCTATTCCTGATCAAAGTCACAATTCATATTCACAAGATTATATTAGTAAACTCGATATTAAATTACTAGATTTTTGGGGTTTACTTTGGTAGCTGCATTCTCTCTGCTTTCTGTCATTTTACTTACATTTATTTACCATCTGTGGCTGTGATGGCCTAAAGACATGAACTGTGAAAAGGCACTTGGCTCTCTCCATCTGACTCTCATACTGTCAAAACAATGGAACCCAGAGAAATGGGAATTTTCTCAGGAAATGCAAGCTATAAGAAGAAAAGTACATTTTTGAAAGAGGTTCCATACAATTCCAACAACTTGTGGGACCACCTTGCAGAATGGGTCTGAAGCCTAGACAATGATGTAGGACCACACCTTAACCAGGACTGCTTGGATGGGCACAGTCTTGGGTCACTGTTGAAACTTGAATCTCACTTGAGGGCTGCAAAGATGGACAGTGGGAGGGAAAGATTTGTCTCTTTTCCCGATGTGGTCACACGGAATACATCTTCCTTTTCTCCCTTCCACTATTAGTTTAGCTCCTTAAATTGATTTAATAAGGACCTGTGTGGCCAAACCTGCTTAAGGCAAAGGCTGTGGCCTCCAAATTTGATAACAAAACAGTCAGTCGATTTCTGTAAGAACAAGCAGACTTTGGAAAATATCAAAACAAAGACAATGATGAAATGTAAACTACATTATCACTAGTGACCAAGTAATGAATCAAATCAAAAGTAAATTTATAGAGGAGAATAGGTTCATAGACCCTATAAGATCTTCTTCACTTATCTTTAGTAAAAATGTAATAGGAAATAGGTTTCAGATTTCTTCTTAAAATTAAAGATGCAGGATATTATATATCAACCAACAACACAGAAATAAGAGAATAACTGTCTTTTAAAATCTCTAAACATTATATTTGTCATCTTAAAGCAATGGCATTTTGCCTAAAACAACTCCAGAGTTATGATTCAAATCATCAAAATATGTGTTAAAAGCCTGCTAACTTCAAACAATATGATTTTATCAAAATGATTTATAGTCATATTTATCATAAATATTCTATAGTCTATACTAAGGAAAAATTGTGCCTGCTAATTGGAATATATTCTTCAAATATAGAAAACCTGCTTATGAAAAAAAATGTAAAGCCCGCCCATAGGAATCTGATAAAATGATTTTGCTTGTACTTCAATTTTCTTTTGATCTCATAAATTTTATAGTCAATGACTCAACAGAATCTGATTCCAGAAAAATAATGACATGTTTCCAAGAATCTAGGATGAGCCAAAATTCTATTTGTTTAGTATTCCTATAAAAATAAAATAATGGTAGCATAAGATATTTTAGTCCAGATTAAACACTCAAAAGTGGTCAATAATGGCAGAGGAGTTATTTGTAGATCAAATTAGGAAATAGATTTTCTTGGACATAAAAGGAACTTTTGCTTTCCGCTTGCCAAATGATGTTGTGAAAGTTTCAGGGGAAAAACGCTGAGTGATAAAAGTGCCCTGTTAAGTAATAAAAGAAAATTAATCCATGTCATTGCAAAAGAGATGATATTGGGAAAAAGTCAAGATTGCCCAAACAGTACTTTTGTTGTTAAGAAGAAGTTGATTAACCCTGCACTAAAGGGTAACCATAGCCTAAAATAAGTCTCCTTAGAGAGATAATAAATAAACAATAAGAAAGAGACTCCACAGGTGCTATGTCTCTTCACTCAAAGTTGAACAAATTCAGCATATCCTCGGCAATGAAAGGAATTGAATTTGTGGTTCTGGAATAATAGAAAGCTCGGATGCAGTTTCCCCTAGCCTGTCTCCTCTGTCCCACTTGCTAGCCAGGGACTATTCCCAATGGAGCACCGTAAGGGCTCCGCAAACAGTGAAGAAATACCCTTCCTTTCTCCGCCCGATCTTCATGGGAACCTTCTCATTAGGGGTGTAAATTCTGCTCAACTCACCCGAATCACTGCAGAAAAGGATGACGAAGTTTGCAAAGCGGCAGTCGTATACTACTTCGGGGAAAGGCGGGATGCAGCAGCCGCCCCGCCTGTGAATTGCACAGCTCTGACATTTCAGTCAACTCTTACTGACAAAGCTCGCGAGAGCTGGCAGCAGCAACTTGATCTGGCGCTGGCCAGGCTTCCTTGGCTGACATCTGTTCAGAGGCTAATGGCATGAACGCAGTGGTGACCACGCCTTCGGAGAGTGCTGGGGGGTCTTCCTCTACCATCACAGAGAGGCTTCCTGCAGAGAAGAAAGGGCAGGGAGGCGCCTGTGTTATAGAAACTGAGCGAGTTACTTGACACCAGCAGGACTTTAAAGTTTTGTGTTTTGCTTTGTTTTCTTTTGTCCATTTAAGAGTTTTACAGCAGTAAACATTGTACACACTGTTCTAAAGAAATGTCACTGAAAGCAGGTGTACCTTTGATCTCTGAAAAATCATGTGGTGATAAAGCCGCATAAAAAAGAAAATGGGAAATAAAATAAGCAATCTAGATATAAACTATGAAAATCAAAGGATTGTTTACCACTGATTATCCCGCCTTGTACCCTGCACCTCAACATTGGTTTAAGCCCTACAGAATGCACAGTTCCTGACAACTTCTCCAAAGTTCCTGCTCGTAAAATATGTGAGGGAAAGCCACGGTTTATAATACATTTGAAGAGTGCAAAGTTCTTCAGCAAACAGTTAAAAGAACATCTCCAGTCAGGCACTGAGAGCGGCTGTGAACATACACTTTTATGTTTCAAGCTTATCATACTTTACATTTGTATTTTGCAAAACAATAAGAAAAAAAAAAACCTTCAAGGAACACTTTAATGGCTGATTCTCCATACAGTTGCACTTTTAAGTTTTTGTAAATGTCAGCTTTCAATTTTAAATCTCTCAGCTAAGGGCTCACTACAAATTAAACAGAGTAACTGGGTCTGTAGAAAAGCACACTTTTGTCATTAACAGTTGTTGACATTTCAAACATGAACATACAAGAACTGGGACTTTGATTCTGGCCAATGTCGATCTGTGTGACTCAAATTTACATATAATATATCAACCTAACGAGCATGAGTTTAACATGATTATTCAGATTTTTAGGCCATGAAATTTGATCTTTAAAATCTCAAAATCTTGCTATGCTGCTAGTCCTAAGAACTTTTGGAGTTAGAATTTCAAATAAAATATTTTCAATATCATTTTATATCAAATGCTTCCCAAACAACAAACATTTTTATTAGCTGAAATTATCTTTTCTCTGGAAGGCGTTACTTAGGCAATATTGATTACATGCCAAACATTATAATCACCAGTTCAAAACATGTAATAATAACATGACTTTTGTAACCATGGGACAAAGCCTTAAAAAGAAGTACATTATTCCTTTCTTTAAATGCTGTTACATACATATAAGTATATACATACCTATTTCTAAATACATAAGTACAGTCTGCTTAGTCTGTATAATGTTACTTGTATGTATATTTTCAGGGTTGACCATTTGATAGTGTTGTATAACCAACTGATGTGCTCTTCCTGGGACAGATATTTCTCCAATTCGCAGCAATTCTTTGTTGTCTTTACTTACTTCTTTGTGTAGGGTTGAAGCCTCATGGACTTTCCTTCATCCACTTTAGCACATCTAATCCTGTTCCTGTTCAGATCTTATATAGGCAGTCATGTTGGTGAGGTTTTATGGGGGCAGCTTCTGAAATCACTAGGAGATGCAGTCTCACAGCTAACTCCCTCATCCCCTGACTCTTACAATCTTCCCACTCCCTCTTCTGTAATGATCCCTGAGCTTGGGTTTAAAGTGTTTTGTAGATACAGCCTTTGGGAATGGGCTCTACAAATCTACCTCTTGATTGGTTTTGGTTATGAATTTGAAAAAGAAAAAGGAGGAGTATGTGGGTGGATTTGAGGGATGAAAGGGAAGGGAGAATGAGGTAATTATATCTCTAACAATAAGAAAAAACTTTAAAAGTATACAGTCAATTTACAATGTTTTGAAAGTTATGGTAGCTATATTTAAAGCAGTCCTTTGGGTAGCCCACTGAATAATCCACTAGGTTAGAATGTATCATTTCTTAAGATTACATTTATTTTTATTTGATGTATGCGTATGAATGTTTTGCCTACATGTGTATGCGTGTATGTTGTCCTCACAGGCCAGAAGTTGTTGAATTCCCTCGAGCTTTAGTTACAGCTTGTTACAGGAATTGAAGGGATACTGAGAAACAAGCCTGGGTCCTGTAAAAGAGCCACAAGTGTTCCTAACTGCTGAACCATCTCTCTAGCCTCAGAATGTGTGATTTAAAAAAAAAAAAAAACCCAAATGTCAATACTTCTTCCAACACAACTCTACTGCACTGTTTTCTGTAGTAGCATAAAATTAGAATCAAGCTCAAGCCCTGATCTTACTGAGTGAATTTATCTGATGATTTTTGCATCCTGTCATGTCTACTCCATATTGTATGTTTTATACAATGTAAATATATTTTATACAAAATGTATACTCCATATATATTTTTCAAAACAGTGATGAAAATAAGAAAATCACTTACTAGAAGATTGTAATGTATGTTTAAACTGGTAAGCTACATTAGGTGATTATGAAACTGCTCTTTTTCCTCTGATAAGCATTTTTCCTTCAGTGAAACACTTGGGCTCCAGAACCACTGGTTCATCTGTGCCTTGGTTTCTCAGCTATGCTCCTTGGCTATGCACTACCTTAGTTCACCCTTAAAGCACTTGTTCTTCCTGTGTTATTGATCTTTGCTTCATGGCTTGACACACAACAGGTGCTTTGCTGCTGTACTGTTATCTTTTTTTCTCATGCTTCTAGTGCGATGATGTCAATCATGTGTCATGAGCTTGTTGAGTCAGGTGGCCAAGTCTCATGCTGTGACCTCACAGCCTTGTATTCTGTCAATACGACTGCTATGTATTTTGTGCTAGTTATAAGTGGTTCTGATGGAGTACCCCAGAACTCTTGACTTCTCATTATTAATGCTTCGGTTAGTCCTGCCAGCTGCCCTCAGTGAACACATTGAGGTAGGCAGTCATAGCACCTTTCAGGTTTAAGGTATTATCGTCATTCAGGTACTGCTGGGTTCACTGTTTCCTTAGCAGTAGCACTGAAAACTTGACACTTTACCTTCTCCCCTTCTGTTTCTTTTTAACTAGAATAATGTATTTTATGATCAAAGTATTCATTACTAAGAAAAACTCTTAAAGATTTTTGTATTTCACATATCACAGTGCAGGAAAATATCACCTTCATACTATATAGTTGCATAAGAGTGGTCAAATAGTTTGTGGTAAATTTTCCCACTTCTTATTCACTTAACAATATTAGCTATCTATTGAAATATTTCAATGATTAAATGGTACATTATCTCATGGATGTGCTTAACTATTTTTTACCTCTGTAATGATGATAGCAATATGAAGGAATAAGTAGTATTTCTGGGCCAGGATGGAGCTTAGTAGTAGAACCCTCACACGGCATGAATAAGGCTTTAGGTTTGAACTTCAACACTGCAAGTCATAAAGGAAAATAAGTTTTATTTTCAAATACTTTTCTACATGCCATGAATATCCCAATTAATTTGAAACTCATAATAATAAGGAAATAAAGAAAGTAACAATCATCTTTAACTAAGAACTGCCATTAATCTTATTCTCTAGTTGAGGTAAGTATGCCACAAAGGGTTTATATGATATGCCTGAAATTACAAAATATCAATGTTGTTTTCTAATATGCAAGGTGTCAATAACTACAATAGAAAATTCTGTATATGGATATTTCATTATATTCAGTATATATGTTTGTTTCTTATCTTTTTGTTTATTATTGGTTATTTTTGTTATTTGACAATTTCATACATATGTTTATCATGTATTCTGGGTAGTCTCCCTGCCCTGCCCCTTTATAATACCCACACTCCCATACCTGTCAAATTCCTCTCTCTCTCTCTCTCTCTCTCTCTCTCTCTCTCTCTCTCTCTCTCTCTCACACACACACACACACACACACACACACACACACACACACCACTGGATATCCTTACAAATTCCTTTCCTAGATTCATGACTTTTGATTTTGTTTGGTGACTGATTCGTTTTTCTGTGCCTGGGTTATATCACTCGATATGTTTTTCCAATTTTATTTTCCTACAAATTTCATTAATACATTATCATCATAGATAGCTGGAAAAGAATTCCATTGTATGCATATACCACATTTGCTTTACAACTGATCAATGGATGGACATCTAAGCTGCTTCCATTTACTACCAATTGTGACTAGGATAGCAACCAACATACATAGTCAGTAATAGTAGTAGGCAATACTACTAGCAAGCAATAGAGTCTTTTAGGTATCTGTGCAGGAATGGTTACAGTGGGGTCATCCTTGTTTATTTTCTCAGAATTTAAATTAATGAATGTGACCTGTACAAAGTAGATTTTCAGACTTCTCACATCCTCCACAGACTTTGGAATAGGAATTTCCAAAGTTCTCATAAACCATACAAATGTTTGCAGTCAGAATAAATCTCTCTGTGTGTGTGTGTATGGTTGAGAATATATTTTCATCCATTTTACAAACCAATCAAAGGTCCTCCTCTTCCCTCCTCCCCCCAAGATTCCCCCTCCCAACCCACCTCCCACTCTCCCCCAAATAAGAAGGCAAGGCCTCCCATGGGAAGGCACATCCAGTAGAGGCAAGTCCAAGTCCTTCCCCCTACCTCAAGGCTGCACCTCATGCAGAATAAATCTTAATATGTCTCTGGACCTAATGAAATGGACATTCCTTCTCAAATCCAGCATGTGTTTGAAAATGGCTTTCTTTTCAGCCATTAAACTGGAATCGCTTTGAGAAAACAGGGGCATCTATTCTGGAAATACCTATAGGTGGTGCCTTCAGTGATGGATAACACAGATCGTTTGAGGTTAGGGGAAAAGGAACAATGAAGGGGGTTGTGCTGTTTTATGTGTATGAGTAAAGATAGTTTAAAGGAAGTTCTGAAAATAGATTTGAAGGTATCAGCAACTGATAAAATCTTAGCATACTAACAAGATAGCCAGTACCCAGAGGAAGCCCCTAAGGATAAGCCATGGCAAGTGTTTTACACAACACAAAAGCATAGGAATCAAAATCT